AGATTTGAGGAGGTTCAGCCACTGTCTTTCCTAAGGCAGAACAAATTTACTCTATCATGGAAAACATCATTTGTCCATTTTCAATTCTAAATTTAGTTGTCCCACAAGAACTTTTCACTAATACCTGCACAAGCATAAACAACACCGGAGAGATGATACAAGGACTGGAAACCCTCCCCTGGGACAGTGGAGGGTTTTTTCATGCCTAAAGTGCATGAAATTTGAAGTGGAGCATGTTTTCACAAGTAATATACTTGGGACCTTGTGTTATACGTGCCCAAACCACTACCCTATCCCTCATTTAAATATCTCATAAAATGGACTTCTTCCATGATGAGAAGAATTTGTGCTTATTTAAATAATATAGAAGGGAAAAAGACCTTGCATTTAAAGAAAACAAAGAAACAAAAAGCAGTGCTTTCAAGATGCAGATATGCCCTCGCATGATGACACTGACATCTCTGATCTTCCCCCTCTCAAAATCTTGGTGTTTCTCACTTTTCTAAACAGTGCTGCAAATTTCAGATTACCAGCTTTGAGGCAGGGATAAACATCACACAGGAAAAGAGAAATTTTTTTCCCTGCTAATCACTGCACTTAGAAGTTTCATTTTGCTCCCAGTCACCTTTTCTGTATCCAGACAGAATGACCCAGTGGTTGAAAGGAAAACCCTCCAGCACTGCTGCCACAGTCTGCTCCAGAGGCTAAAGTGCAGCAGCAGATGGTGTAAGACTGGGATAAAGTCCCAAAGATTTTACTGCCTGAAATGACTCTTCCTAGCCACCAGTCAGTGCAGCTGAAAGCCCTAAGGTGTCCTTATAATCATGGTACCTTTCATAGCACTTGCACAAAGGAGGAGCCCAAAGAAAACATGGATGTAAAAGTGAGGGTTTTTCAAGTATTTTCTCAGGCCTGTCTGGGGCAAAGAGCCACTAACAGCTTCTTCTCCATTCACATCATACTCCTTTAGCACTTACCACTCATGGAGCTCAGGGAATTGAACTAATACTGGATGAGGAAAGGAGTAATTTCTTTACAGAATAACTACAAAAATCTGTGTGTAGGAAGCTCCTCTTRAATACCCTTCTACATTGCTTTTACCCCATCAACAATAATGGCATAGACTTTTGTTAACAATTGAAAATGCTGAGATCTRTGTATAAACTCAGTGCATACTAAGAAAAAATTTAAATATTTCTATGTAAAATGGGGGGGGGAAAGTCAGGTTTTATTCAAATTCAATATTTGGGTTAGCAAAAAACATGTAATCTTTGAAAAGAGCTATCTTTAAGCAATGTTCTGGGCAATGCTGCAAATGACAGGAAAACATTTATCTCAGTGATGCTGCCATTTCTGGAAAGGTCTACAAATTAATCGGCATCTTGTTAACAAAGCAATGTTTGGTTTGGCCACTCAAATGACATATATGAAATTTTTCAATTAAAAAAACGCAACCATATCAATCAAACTTAATTCTTCAGTAGAAAGTAGGTAAGAAATATCCATTCTATTGATAAAAAAGAGCCAGAGGAAACAGGGGGCAGGGATGAGGTCAAAGGCTTATACTTCTCCTTCTGGTGACAGTGGCAATAAAACTGAGAGACCTGCAAATCAGCTGGTCCTGGTGGATGGCTGAGGAGGCCACTGCCACCTTCACTGACTTTGCTCCCCCATAGCAACACTGGCCTGCTGAACCTCCTGAACCTCTGGCACTGCTCCCTGGCAAAGTCAGCTCCAGGAGSTTTGTGCTGCCCAGCATGCTGCAACTGAGCTGGAGAGCTGTTAAAGGGATATTTCCACCCTAGCATTCCAACACCAATTTTAAAAAATAAAGAACCTGTACATTTAAATATTTACTACAACTGTAATATGGAAAAATAAAACAGCTCCATGTTGAAAAAGCTAATGAAATAACTCATCATCAAATCTCAGTTTCTAATACGGACTGCTAAGCTGATTTGCCAATAAGAGGTCATTTTACTACTTTTGCAGAGTGTGAAAACTAAGTGTACTCAAGGGTATTTCATTACCAAATACTAACGAATGAAACTTAATCATAAAACCAATAAAACCACTGTTTTTAAAGGATTTTCCTAAACTACCTGTGAAAGGCAGCTCAATAAAGTAACTTTTCCCGTCTTTTCAGCAGAGGAAGCACAAAGACTGCACAAAAAAGAAACTTGCACAGTACCTCATGCTTTACCAAGTACAATTACAAAATGKATTCTTAAGAGAAACAGGGAAAGAATATCTTACTATAAGACAATAAGTAAACCTTAAAAGACAGCAACGTGTTTTTRATGACTACAGTTCCCTTTCTCTTTAAAGAATAGTATTTTAAGAAGAAATTTACTAAGTCATTCCAGAAAATCAAGAAGCACATAGAATTTGGTGAAGAAACAAGTACTTTTCTGATAGTGCTTTTRCTGCCATTACACAATTTTTTGACTTTTCCTTAGGCTGCAGACATGATGTTCCAAAAATGGTAAGGCAATCAACCTTGACAGTGCCCCAGTATGCTGCAAGCTTAACTATTCCACAGAAATGTAACAGCACGATAAAATCTACCTGCATAAAGGTGTTTTTTACATACAGATACATGTATGTATACATATATATATTTGTTTTGCTTAGCTATCAGGCATATATCTTATTTTTTTCATTTAGTGTTTTACATGTTTCCTTTTTATTACCTGGACTATCAACAATGTAAAAACCAATAACTTTTTTCACATCAACTTCTTTAGAGAGTGTCTGGTCTCCCATTTACCAGATATTTCATAAATCATAAAGATCTTCAGGCACATAAAAGTGGGAGACAGCTTTAAAAGTATCATTGTTTAATCAGATTTTCATATAAGAATATAAGACTTTACATAGTGACATAATGAAAATCAAAAGTGACAGATTGGGTGACTGGAATTTCTGTGACTTTTTCTATCCATTAAAATGCCCAGCCTTCTAATGCTGGAAGAGAATTTAGCACCAGCTGGGATCCTCAGACAGCATTAGTAAAACAACAAAAACTCCCTCAAATAAAATTATTGAAAATAAAAATTTTCAATCATGAGTTTATAAAACACTTCCATAAAATGAAACACGCATACTAAATTTAAAGGTTCATGTAACTGATCAGGTCAAATCCAGTCACCTGAGAAACAACAAGAAAAAAAGTAAATCTGCTGAGGATGTTTAATTTGACAGATTCCAGGAATTTTACAGAGAATACATCGAAATGTGACTATACAGCAGCTTAAATTCAGGATCCAGGTAGGCAAATTAGTGTTCTTGCACCAACAACATGAAGCCWAAATACTTAAAAAAGGAGGTGAAGAACCTTGGAACCTGCAAGTTGTTTGCAGGGTACTGGATTTCTCCTATATTCTCTCCCTCCAAGAAGAGCCTGAGGAAAAAGGAAATCGCTAGTTTCACCCARCAAATCCACAATTAAACACTATGGTAGAGAGGAACACATTGCTAACTGTGCCCTTCAGAATGAGCAAACTTTGTGGTGCAGCCCCTGAGGCCAAGACCTCTCTCTGACCTACCATTTTCAGACAAAAAAGCTTAAAGCTGCTGTACACCAACTGTACTTGCTGAGGTCACACAAACAGGGTTCAACTAAGGCACAGCCAACCCAAATGAATTTGCAGGTGTTTCTACACAACTACAGCTGTAGTTGCAATTACAGTACCACAATCACAACACATCTGCTGCCTACCGACTGGATTCAATAAATGTTAGTTCAACTTCAAGCACTTGCTAGAACGTTTGTTGAATTTCAGAAGCTCCCATAGAAACTTGTCATCGGAAATGCTAATGAAAACCACAAGCTCCAAGCAGCCAGCTCTGGAGCACAGATATAAAATGACTTTACTGATGAGAAACCAGCCCTGCAAATGTGAAAAATAAGATACTTGGTTGCTCCTTGTCTAAGTCTTGCCCATGGAGGGCCTACTAAGCAGGAAACAAAGAGAAAATAATGACAAAACTAAATTAATCCGAGTCATGTTTATAGGAAGAGTTGGGGTTACACAATCATACAGAGCAGCAGTGAGCCAAAAGAGCCTCCCATAATAACAATAAATACATTCCCGTAGCCATGGAGCATTACGAGGTCCATGCAAAGGATACTATTAATTTTTCCCTAATATCTGTGAGAGCTAGGTGTCAGCAAAAGCTCAGCTCAGCTCGAGGAACCTTTCAAGTCATATTTGAATCTGTTTTGAAGACGTGCAATGCCAGAAACCAGAATACGAAATTTTAGACATCAAGACATCAAGTAAGCAGTTTTGAAATTTAGATTTGAAATTGTTCACTTCAGTCCTAACCCAAAAGGACTTTCACACAGAACAGAGTGTAGCATCAGGGAACTAACGCCAAGGCTGAGTTTGATTGATATAGTACTACTTTATTCCATTGTTTCAACTTTCTTACAGGTTTTAAAAAAAATGTACAGGGGTTCAGAACCACCTCAACACAACAAAGACTACAGTATTAAGGGAGCTCTAGAGTCATACCACAAGTGTGCACACATGGTCAGCTTTCATTACAGAAARTAATAGGCACAATCTTTACATAAGCATTTTGGTGAAAGAAGGAGTAATAGTGCAGTGTTAAAAGGCCCCAATAATCAATAATTGGGCCTTTTTTAAAAGCCAATAACCATCTAAGAAAATTACATTTGGTTCAAAGTTATAATTTAAATATTGTATTGACTGGCGTTTATGTGAGCCTCTGGCAATTTACTACACAAACCTAATATGTGCCCTCGCGAAATCAGAAAGATTTCATTGGACCTGAAAGTCAGTTCAGTACAAAAGGAAATACCAAAGCTCTTGGCCTCTGTTTAACACTAAACTACCTTGTTCACCTCCTCCAAGAACACTTGTCTAACAAACAACTGCACAGAAGTATTCCCCTAAAAGCAAGTGCAAATTTTTTAATCTGTAGCATTGACCTATTCCATGTGCCATGAGAACATTAGGCACAGACCACAATTTACATTTTTACTTAAAAAAAAATACAGTATGTGCAAGTGAGGTTCACACAACAGACTGACAGCTACAATAGTAAGCTCTTTAGAATTCCCAAAGAAAAGGTGATGTGGTTAGTTTTAATTTTCKAAGTGGTGCTGCACATTGATGTGTGCCATTATCATACCTGCATTAGGAGCATCTGTGGAACCAGTAAGGAAAAGKGTCCTAAAGGACACTACATCAATACCATTTGCTGATTTAACTGGATCAAGAGAGTGAACAACTGAAGAAATTATTATATATGGGCAGTTGCAGTCACTCAGTCAGCCAGGGAGGGCTATTGCTTTCTGCAGAAAGAATGGTTTGGAACTCAGTTTACCTCACACGTGCCCTTAAAACTCACCCACCTGGACACAACAGAATACAGGGATGCACAGCATGGAAAAAAAGGGAAAATGAGAGGGAGAGCTTCTGTGCAAGTTGTACCAAAATGTGCCAGTTTCTCCCAAAGCATCATGCCCAGGGTAGGGTTTATGCAATGCCAATTTTTTGTACAACTGAAAATTGTACAAGATGTGAGCAGAGACAGAGTTGATTATTACCTGYAGTATCTACTACAGTCCTCAGGTATATGATTTACGGATAGCTGCATAGTGTGGTGTTGATTACTTCCTCTTAAATATATAATAAAATTTATGAAGGCTACAGTATATTCTGACACAAAGACAACTTGTCTACRAGGGGGAAAATGTAAGATAGTGACTAACTAATTTGTTTTACGAGGAACCTTCTCTAWGGTGGTAGTTACTTCATGCCCTTTGGAAGATTTTTATTCCTGACTTTCTTCATCATGTCTATTGAACTGCTCTCCCCACAGTTTCACAAGAGTTCAGTGACCCTTTTTACAGTTGCCTTTGCCTTTTCCAGGATCCCTTTTAAACTCACTCYAACACCATGACAAGCTGTTCAAGTAAACACTGCTCTCTGGCAAGTCTCCAGATACAAATACTATCAAAACTCAGCATTTGATTGCATGCACCAGTTTTCTTTAAATGGAGCAGGAATTAGCCCGTTTCCTTGGTTTAGGGTCCTGTATGTCCCTGTCTTTTGCACACATACAAGATGAACATATCGTCTCTGACAGTCTCCGCAGTCCCAGCCTGAAAACACTGTTGGAGAGGCTATATATCACACAGTTGCAGAAACTATTGCTTATTGCAAGCCATGTTGTTAGGAAGGAGAGTGCTGGGTTTTCCAACACCCTAGAGCTTTCCAGCAGAAAGTATATTATATAAGGGAGCCACAGCATGTAGAACACACTGGTTATCCGGAACAAAACCATGGCATAGCGGCGATCRGGGCTGTGCCCAGTCTCCCCAGCAGCATCCCCTTCATGGCTAGGAAATCGAGCTCTCCGATCACTTATCTCTTTGGTGTGCTGCCGGCAGATTTTAAAGATGTGGAAATAGGTGAAACAGATGACAAAGGCAGCAGGAGCATAGAGTAAGCACACGATAAAGCCAGTAAAATAGGCATTAGTTAACCAGGAGGTAGCACACCATTCAAAAATATCTCCATGGTAACCAGGTTTTCCCCAGCCAAAGAAGGAAGGCAAAAAGATCAGGCAAGAGTATATCCAGATCAAACTGATGCAGATTCTCAAGCGACAAGGTGTGACCAGTTGATTATACGAGAGAGGCTTTGTTATAGCGAGATAGCGATCCACACTGATGCAAGCAAGGCATGCCATAGAYACGCTTTTGAGCACAGAGATGATGTATCCAAAAACTTTGCATGTGAAGGACTCGTGGACACCTGTCGAGTAGTGGAGCAGTGACAAAGTAGGAACCAAGCAGCTGACTCCAACAAAAAGATCAGCATAGGCCGTGGTCTGAATAAAATAGCTGGTGGTATAATGGTGCAGGAGTGGAGCACAATGAAAAACAAGTATCACAGTTAAGTTACCCGCAATAATTAAAAATGTTAGCAAGACAATAATGACTGTCTCAAGGATACAGATGTCAACTGTACTGTAGTGACCAAATCCAAGAGGGCAGGAGAGGCGCTCAGTTAGGTTCATAACACTATTGCTCGTATTCAGAGTCCTCCATTCAATCCATCGGGACTGGTTCATGTTTTGTGCTTAGGGAAATGTGCAATCTGAGCCTTAGCAGGCAGGTGACCAGCTGAACAGCAGTTAAACTCTGCTTCAGCGTCTCACGATSTCTCTTTGCAGACACTGCAAGTGCTTACATGTGAGGGGATTACAGTCCCATAGCTGTTGATGCCTCCTCAGCATCAGTGCATCACCTCTGGCACACCTTGGCTTTAAGGAAAGAACGAAAGAAAGAAAGGAAGAAAGAACCAAAGAAAGAAAAGAAAAACAAAAGCCAGAAAGAGAAAGGCCACTGATCAGCTCCTCCAGTGCTTTTGACCCATCTTTAGCAAATATAAGGCACTTCTAAAACAAATAGAAATAAAAACTAACAAAACAGACACATTCATTTCCCAGGGAAGGAGGAGAGGTAAATCTCGGACAAATTTTCCTGAGGAAGTCTTTTACTTTGGAATATACTGGGGASAGGGAGAAGGGGAGGAAGGGAAGGTAGAACCTCAGTACAGCTCAGGTTTCCTGGAGATGATCTTTAGGTCTTAGTTTAAATCACAGATTGATTGAAGACTAAAGGAAAAAGTTCATCCTCTAATGGCTGTCTTTGCTGGTTCCATTCAGAAGAGGGTACTCCATCTTATCCCTGCTATTCATTGGAAAGGTAAGGGAAGTATTTTTATCAGGATTAATTCCAATAGACTCACCACTATTTGGGTATGAACAATGAATTTTATTTGGGGGGAGACATGTGGGGGATGAGGCAGATTTATCCTCTGGCTCCCAAGAAAGAAAACATACATCTCACATACAATAAGGAAGATCGGGTCTATTCATTTAAAAATKAAAATAATTTAAGAATAGATTTTGGAGACTTATGTAAATATTTACAGTTCCTTTAAACAGTYATAGTCCATTACAGTTACTAATGCCAGAATCATAATTCATTGTTCCCACAGACAAAATAAATCCTTTTGAATTTCATTTCAACAATGTCAGTTTAAAATTATCATCTTTAGAAACTCTGCCACATCTACTGCAGTGGATCAGGAGTGGAACCCAGGAGTTCATAGGTATATCCATGATATTGCTCACCTCTGTAGCAACAACTGAATCATTTTACAAACCCCCAGACAAYGAGCTCCGAAACTTCCATCTGCATTCTGCTGGGAAGCTAATGAAATGCTGATTTGACTAGAAAAGCTGCCATTGTTTACTACTCCATTATTCTGTTGCTCAGCTTCATCTTCTCAGGACTTTAGGGTTTCTATATTTATTAGATGATCAGTATAATAAACAGTTGCTTTAAAAATTTTTTTTTCTTCTATTTGCAGGACATTACCTTGTTCATTTTATTCACAGCTATGGAGATAGAAAACATTAAAAGAAAGCATCTTCTATATTCAGTTTTAAGTAAATGCTTGATTAGCTCAGGAATCATTAGGCAGGTAATTAAATGTATACAGTCTGGTTTTTCGAAAGGCCCCTAAAACGTTAAAACCATCATTAATGCTAGAGCTCCTGAGACTAGAAGACTAGCAGTGAAAATTAGTGGATCCACAYAAAATGATCTCCAAGGTCATTCAGATATTACGCTGGCATTTGCTTTGAGTCTCCTTYAAAGTACCAGGATCTCTCTGAAGTTTCTTATAGTCTTTGCCGTGTCTTCAGGAGGAATTTCAGATACTAGAAAGGCCAAACGTTCAATTCTGTCGCAGCACTTTGAGAGAAAGCATTCTTTTTGGAGTTAATTTCCTGTCGAGCATTGCCACGCTGTACAGAAAGTCCTTTCAGATTTTATAACATCCCCGAATATTTGCGGCTATTCGCTCCCTTTGTCTATAAGCAACAGCGCACGTGTAAAATTACTCCTTTCTCCATTTCCCTGCTAAAGCAATAGAGAAGCTTTCTCACCTACACGAATCCTCTATGTCCAATAGTTGACAGGGAGTCCAGTTACCGCGGTGCGGCGAGAGCGGCAGCCGCTGCCTCCCTGCTACCTCCGTGCGATGATTGCCTGCACCTCAGCCCGCTCCTCCCCCTCCTTTTCCTCCTCCTCCTCCCCGCCGCAGCCCGCCGGGCGCTGGAGTGCTGTCGGCTGTTCTTCTGCTCCTGGTCCATCCGATGGCGCTGCCGCTGGCATCGGCAGGGAGCCGACTGGAGGGGGAGCCGGCTGGAGGGAGAGCCGGCTGGAGGGAGAGCCGGCTGGAGGGGGCCGGGTGCGGGGAGCCGGGTG